GTAGCATAAACTTGATAGAAGCTGGTAGGTAACCAAGACAAACGCCGCCCCCCCTCTCCGTTAGCTTTCCCCACGATAAATTTCAGCACTGTGTATCCTTGATTACGTTACGTGTGCTCTGTATTTATTTATTTATTTATTTATTTAATTAATTTTTATCCCGCCCTTCTCCTTACGGACTCAGGGCGGCTGACAGCCTTATAAAACAGATACAACAATAAAAATACCCAGTTTAAAACCTAATTAAAAAGAAATATTTACTGTGGCCTATGTCAATTAAAATTACTCTTAAAACTCCACTAAAAATTCCCCTAGGCCAGACCCGCTTGTTGGAAGAGCCATGTCTTTAGGGCGCGGCGGAAGGAGGGGAGATCCGGGATCACCCGGATCTCTGGGGGTAGTTTGTTCCAGAAGGTGGGGGCTCTCACCGAGAAGGCCCTCCCCCTGGGGGTCGCCAGCCGGCACTGTCTGGCTGACGGCACCCTGAGGAGACCCACTCTGTGGGAGCGTACCGGCCGATGGGAGGCAACCTGCGGCAGGAGGCGGTCTCGGAGATATCCGGGTCCGATGCCATGGAGCGCTTTGAAGATGATGACCAGCACCTTGAAGCGCACCCGGAAGGCCACCGGCAACCAGTGGCAACTGTAGACAGTATTGCTTCATATGATGCAAAACAATGCGTGCTCAAGATAAACGTCCCTCAGAACTTGATCGCTCATCCTACGGGCATTTTAAATCAAACATTGAACTCTGGCCTACATGTGCGGTATCACTGTAGACCATAGGTGCAGATTCCTACAGGAAACTGTTCCTTGTTTTTCTTAATTTTGGATAGTCTGCCTCTTAACCTATCACTCCCTTGCTCAGTGAACAGGATTGGAGCTTCTTCTGAAAAACAAACAAACCACCATCCTTTAATCTGTCCTCACAAATGCTTCAGTTGTGTATGTTTAAGCAAATGCAAAACACTGCCCAAGTCACCTAACCAAACCTTAAAAATCCCATTTTGTTTTGTCTGTGGCGATCTCTTCACATTAGCCCTTTTTTGTGATAAGGAGCCACTGAGCCAAATTTATTTTTATTATCATTTTTTTCAGGTAAGCTTGGCTGTAAAAACATAAACGTGGTGGGGAATGTCTTAAGGAACATACCAGCTTGTGTATAGGTTGTATATAATTTATGGGTTTTTTTAATGCTTTTTTAAAAATAAAATCAGAAAGGTAATAGCAAAGGACTTGGAAGTAAATAAACACCCTGCTGAAGCTAGTTCTATAAATATGAAACTTGTCTAAGATTCCACTGTAAAAGATACTAAATGGAAATTTAAAGCGAAATAATGTTTTACTTGTGCTGGTTATCCATTCTGTTTTACAATTTTTTTTTCCAGGTTTACAAGGCCAGAACATCTAGGAAGCAGTGCCAAAATCAAATGTAGTGGTTGCCACAGCTACCAAGAATCTACAAAACAGCTCACTATGAAAAAACTACCCATTGTGGCTTGTTTTCATCTCAAAGTGAGTTGCTAAACGATGATTCCTGAAAGCGGATCTTCCGCCACGGACTTGCTTGACTCTCTTTATTTTTTGGTTTTTAAATCTTCAATCTCACGGATTGTCTGAATCCCAGTTTTGAACTGAGAGCGTACACTTGAGAATTGGGAACAGACGTTATGACTGACGGACGATATATTTCTAGATTGATTAGATATCCAGAGATTTAACATTGCAGATTCCGTCCCAAAGGAGCTTTTTCCAAAAGGCAACTGGACTTTCTTGGTTTTTTTTCTTTGAAAACATTTCGCTTCCTATCCAGGAAGCTTCTTCAGTTCTGAGAAGAAGCTTCTTGGATGAGAAGTGAAACATTTTCAGAGAGAGAGAGAGAGAGAGGAAAAAAAAGTGATCCAGTTCTGAAGAAGAAGAATCTTGGAGGAGAAGCCAAAATGTTTTTTTCCAAAGGAAAAAAAACCACCAAGAAAATCCAGTTACCTTTGGTTCAACCATGACCTGGATGGTTGAGAATCTCCACAGACATTGCAGATCCAGCTTTCTGCTGTTACACAATCCACAAAGCTGTATGTTGCTTGCCAAACTTAAAACTTTCAGCCTTGATTCAATAACTGTCCAGAAGAATCAGATTGGAGAATACCAGACCAAGTGGATTTTCCGCAGTAGTCTTTGCTATTGAACTATTTGCCCTCTTCCAATTGTGTAACTGGTGCAACAGCCCAGCCGATCCACAAAACCTGATGCTCATGAGGATAAATTGTTTAATTGAGGCGTACTTTCAAATGCCTGCCGTTCTGGTTTTAAAACATTCTAAATATAAATATAGAGTTTCAATAGGCCAAGCTACACCATTTAAAAGGTTTCGTCAGGTGGTCCCTGAAGATGCAAATTTCCTTAAAACTGTTACAGAATTGAGATGTTTATAGCGATCCTCAGATTCCACAACAAAGACATACGACTCAATAGTCATATCTAGTATATCCAAATGTCTAGATTGCATAAAAGTGAATGCAGAGAAGGATATTTTGGAAGCGGGCAGCATTATTTTTTGAATGTCAAAGGATGATCTCTAGCCTTGAATCATCCTGTCCTCCTGCCTGTTTCAGAATTAAGATTTCAATATTTAATGCCTCAAAACAGCATTTAAATGCCAGCGAACTAATATTGCTAAATTCCAGCAGCTGAAGTAATGGATAGGGGCTGTAAGTTATTTATAGCCGGACTGTTATCAGAGTCATTATGAAGAGCATGTCTTCTGACAATGTTAATAATGTAATATGGCAAACAAAAAAAAATGTGAAAGGCTATCTCGTCTGCGTAACTTCTTTTCTCAATGCTAGGAAAATAGCCTGATCAGTTGCTAGGGGATTGTTGTGCTTCTGAAATTTGAGTACAATTACCTACAAAGGTAAATAGAACAAGAGTTTTTAGAAATTTGGAGAAGGGTTGCCCTTCAACAGAAAGAGTTCATTAATCTTTCTGCCTCCTGTTCACATCCATTTATAGCATTTTATTCGGGCGACGATGAAAATATGGAGCTTATCACATTTCCCATTGTCTCGGAAATTAATCTTTTCCAACCACCGGTGTCTTGGCAGCGTGAGATACCTAGAATATTATTTGTCTTCCTTTTTCAAGCACGGCATATACCTTTGTGCAAGGAAGGTTTCAGGCTGAATCCATGTCATTCCTGCCTCAAAACCCTAGAATACCTCAAGAATGGTTTTTAAAACATTCCCCCCCCCCTTTTGGTACGCTCTTTTCGTTCTAAAAAGAAGTCTTTTAGAAACAGCAGGCAACAATCCAAATGGTAAAAAAGACATTTCTGACACATTGTTGTATTAATAGGAAGTAGTCCTTGACTTACAACCATTCATTTAGTAACCATTTGAAGTTGCAACGGCACTAAAACAAGTGACTTAGGACCGCTTGTCACAATTGCCACCTTTGATCCAAATCTGGTCAGTTTGGAAACTGACTCTTATTTATGACCGTTATGTGATTACCTTCTGCAGGGGTCTTCAAACTTGGCCCTTTTATGACTTTGTGGACTTCAGCTCCCAGAATTCCTCAGCCAGGCACGTGTGCCTGGCTGAGGAATTCTGGGAGTTGAAGTCCACAAGTCATAAAAGGGCCAAGTTTGAAGACCCCTGACTTTTTGCAAACTTCCAACAGGCAATGTCAGTCGAGAAGCCAGATTCGCTTAACCATCATGTTATTAACAACTGCAGCAAGACTTAACAACTGTGGCAAGAATGGTTATAAAATGGGGCAAAACTCACTTAACTGTCTCACCTAGCAACAGTAATTCTGGGCTCAGTTACAGCCGTAACTCAAGGACTACCTCTGAAATTGTTCTTCTGCACCCGCGCTAACCAACGAGATGCTGTTACGTTGAGTTTAAAATCTAACCTTCTACCCCCCCCCTTTTTTTTTTCCCAATCTAGCGGTTTGAACACTCGGCCAAACTGAGGCGGAAGATCACTACGTATGTTTCCTTTCCACTAGAGCTGGACATGACACCTTTCATGGCCTCTAGGTATGGACCAGAAACTCTGCTTGTGAGAAGCCATTCACTGTCTTGGTCAGTGTTTTAACGGGCAGAGAAATTGTCGTGCTCAAGCTTGCAGACGGGAACTGTCGTTTGAGGTTATTTTCAGCGATCCCGCTGGCGTTGATTTCAAAATTGAAATTAAGCAGGAGTCTCTTCAGCGAAAAGAGAGGGATTCAACGTTCCTCCCTCTAAGGTGGCAGCCCCCAACTTTTGGGGCACCAGGGACCGGTTCCGCGGAGAGAGGTTTTTCCGCAGACCGGGGTGGGGAAGGTTTCACGTGCTGCCTGCACCCCATGGGAGGGAGCTTCACTTTTTTGCACGGACCGGTTGCTGGCGTGCCGTGGACCGGTGTCGGTCCACAGACTGGGGTTTGGGGACCCCTGCTCTAGGGTCCATAGAGCCCTGGTGGTGCAGTGGTTAGAACCCAGCATTGCAGGCTCATTCGCTGCAGGAGTTCAATTCTGACTGGCTCAAGGTTGACTCGGCCCTTCATCCTCCTGAAGTTGGCGAATTGAGATTGTTGAGGGGCAACAGGCTGACTGTGTAAACCGCTTAAAAAGGGCTGTGAAGCACTAGGAAGCGGTATATAAGTCTAAGTGCTATTCTATTGCTATTGCTATGGTTCCTTTGTTTTATATGTATGCTTGCTTTTCATTTAACTAATTAATTTCCTTTGATTTAATTATTATGCCGTCAAGAAAAAAACGGCAAATTTATTGCCTGACTGATCACTGTATAGACAAGCATCAAAGGTGCATACTCATATTTTTAAAGGCTGTGATAATAAAGGTTGACCATTTCGTCCCTAAGTTCTCCAGCCAGCATGATCTTTATCCCAGGAAATGCTGAGATTTGAAATTGACCCCGGAACAACCTGCCTCCAGAAGCGGTGAATGCTCCAACACTGGAAGTCTTTAAGAAGAGACTGGACAGCCATTTGTCCGAAATGGGTGTAGGGTTTCCTGCCTGAGCAGGGGGTTGGACTCGATGACCTCCAAGGTCCCTTCCAACTTTATTATTATTATTGTTATTTTAAGAAAGTGTCCAGGTTGGAAAAATTGCAATGGAGGAAGAGGAATAAATTTATCTTTCTCCTCTTTGGGGAAAGAGTACCAAGAATCTCTACATATAGAGCCTTCATAATTCAATAGCCTTAGAAGTGACTTAAACGCTTCAACTAGTAATTTGGATCTCCTGCTTTGTGTCTTTGGTGTTTTGCTGGTTTGTTGTTTTTTTTCCATGCAGGGGTAAGTTATGTCAGTGTCGTCTCTTTACTTAAAACACTTGTTTCTCCACTTCAGGAAATGTCGAGAAAGTAAGAAGACCTCTTCAAATTTTAAATATGTCTGTTAACTAACGGGCGATTGATCACCCGCTGTCTTTTTAAATGACACTGAACATGGTGTTTCTTTTGTTTGTTTGTTTTTATTGTAGTAAAGAGAGCAGAATGAATGGGCAGTACCAGCAACCAGCAGATAGTCTAAACAGTGATAATAAGTAGGTGGCTTTGTCTTCTGTGCTTCTTGGTCTCAGATGCATCCCTTAAAACAGTATAAAAAGCTGCCTGGCAGAGTTCAGTAACCTGGTTTTTTTTTTAGCATATTGCATTCTAAACTAGCTCTGGAAAAAAAAAATGCTCAGGAACAAAATGCTGTTTCTTCAAACAGTGACTTTTTCCATTCCACTCCTCTCCGCCATCTGGGCCTAGCATCCCCCAGCCTTCCTTCGATCTACTTCTAAAGACTTACTACTCCATGAACCTTAGCTACTCACTAATCCAAATGAAATAGTCACTGGTTAAAAGTAAAGCCCACCCAGACTTTGTAGAGTGGGTGGCACGCATATATACACGTGTCACAAATAAAATCTTAAAACACCCGATGTCTTGACAGCTTGGATTGGCATTGTTAAGTCAAGCAATATGTATAAATAGTACCGATGTTTTCAGAAACACTAGATAACACAGATAGTCCTCCACTTACATCCGTTCATTTAGTGACCATTTGAAGTTAACGGCGCTGAAAACGGCGCTGAAAAAAAGTGACACGACCATTTTTCACACTGATGGCTGTTGACGCATTCCCATGGTTACATGGGCAAAAATTCAGAGGCTTGGCAACTGACTTGTATTTATGACCGTTGCAGTGTCCTGGCGCCACATAATCACCTTTTACAACCATCTGACAAACAAAGGTTCACTTAACTGCTGTGTTACTAACTTACACAACTGCAGTGAGATTCATTTAACAGCGGTGGCAAGAGAGGTCGTAAAACGGGGCAAGAATTCACTTAAACTGTCTCGCTTAGCAGCATAAATTTTGGGGCTCAGCTGTAGTCGTAAGTTGAGGATAACCTGTAGTATGTGGAAGCTCCACCTCCGATGGCCCAGCTTACACGCATTAGACACATTAGCAGAATGTTGGTGATCGGCGGGGCTAAAAATTCTGTTTTACAAACCGAGCTGTTTTCTCTTCGCTTGTCATTCCGACAGGTATTCCTTGTTTGCAGTAGTTAACCATCAAGGAACCCTGGAGAGCGGGCATTATACCAGCTTTATTCGGCAACACAGAGACCAGTGGTTCAAGTGTGACGATGCCATCATCACCAAGGCTAGCATTAAGGATGTACTAGACAGCGAAGGGTATGTCAGACTCCCACTAAGCACAAAACGCCAGTTTTGCGGTCTACCATGTCAACGAAATGGAAAAGAGGAGCAAAATTAGGGGGAACGCGTGAGATAAAATTCCACCTTGATCTGGAGGATTCTCAGGGGTTGTATCTCAAAGGTGGTGGTGAGGATACATTAAAAAAAAAAAATCTATCTTTTTGGAGTGGCCTCAAAGAGGGAGATGGCACCTTACTCTAAACCAGGGGTAGGCAATTGTGACTCTTTTATGACTGGTGGACTTCAACTCCCAGAATTCCTGAGCCAGCCATGCTGAGGGGAAAGGGAGAGGCTTCCAAGCTGAGCCAGGCTGGCTCAGGAATTCTGGGAGTTGAAGTCCACCAGTCATAAAAGAGCCGAGGTTGCCTACCCCTGCTCTAAACCAACGTTTCTCAACTTTTTTTTTTTGCTGCTTTTAAGATGTGTGGATTTCAACTCCCAGCGCTGCTGGCTGGGGAATTCTGGGAGTTGAAGTCTGCCCATCTTAAAATTGCAAAAATTGCTCTAAACAAGCCTGACACCATGGCGCTCAAACGGTGCTTTGAAAAGCTCAGTTCTGCAGCTTGCATAAATTAGGCAAATGGATTATTTCTTTTGGCCTGACTCACCAGGTTTTGCTGCTTTTCTGGTTTCCCAGGGATGGGAGGGACGTAAAAATGTTATTCCACTGTCTCCTTTTGCTTCTGGGATTCTCACCGGGATCCTGTATTACCGTATCAGAAAAGGAAATTTTTTTTTTTACTGGCTTTTGTTTCATAAAATGGGGGAGTCTGTGAAAGCTCATCCCCTTTTGCCACCTTCTGACAAGCAAAATCAATGGGGAAGCCAGAGTCACTTCACAGCCGTGTTGCTAACTTAACAACAGCAGTGTTGCTGTGGCCAGGAAGGTTGTAAAATGGAGCAAAGCTCCCTTAACAAATGTCTTAATAATGGAAATTTGGGGCCCCATTGTCATGAGTCAAGGAACTACCTATATTGCTAAGGAATGTCTATATATGTAGGTAATCGTTTTCACCTGTATTTCCTGCATTTTCCCTATGATGTCTCGTTCTCTGCTCCGTGCAGAATGGGGGGGCCATTCCCCCCACCCCTTCCTGAATAATAGGGAATAGTCTGTTGGAAAAGGACTTGAGTGGCCTGTTGCCCACAAAATGCCGTCGTAACATGACTGACATTTCAGATGTCTTAGAATCCTTTTGTTGTTAGAAAGTGTATTCTGAGCTTCTCTTGAGGCAGGCAGCTTTACTCTTTGCCGTCCTAAAAGCGAAGCTTTGACATCCCATGTTATAATTCAGGGGTGTTTTTTTAAAAAAGTATTTGGGGATATTTGGGAATTACTGAGGCAGTCCAGCAGGGTCCTAAAACTTAAGCTCCTTGTTCTGATCAGAAGCCCCCTTTGGACACAAGCCACCCTGCTAAGGACGTTGGCAGACTCTCTCCATTCTTGCCACTTTGAGTTTGCTCTGTAGGTGTGGGATTCAGCCTCCGTCCTGCGTGGCTGTCAAACCCTCAGCAGCCCAGACGTATCCTCTGATGATGAGTCACTGGCCTTGAACTATTTAGATTCTCACCACAAGATCAGGAGCGCTAGCAAAAGCCCTTCCTCCCTTATCAAAAAATAAAAATATCCCTATCCCTTCTGCTTTTAACAGGGCTGGGGGGTTGGGGGGGGGATCCAGAATGTACGCCGAGAGACCTTACGTAGGCCTCGCTCTTACCACACCTGCTTTTCCTCTCCCTACTCCGCAGATACTTGCTGTTCTATCACAAACAGTTCCTGGAGTACGAGTAACCCTGCTCGGCAGCTGACGCGAAAAGACAAAAAAAGAGGAAAGGAAGCGAAAGGAGTGGTGGACTTCCGATAAAACACACAACACTACCTGAAATGAAAAAAAAGACACCCATTCGACAACTGGCCCCGAGCTGCGACAGGACCTGCTTGCCATCGGCTCACCGCCTAGAGGAGTTTAAAAAAAAAAACAAAAAAACTAAACGAACTCTCTTCCTCGTGTTCGCGGTCCTGCGAGGACAGAAGAAGGGGGGGTGACCCCCCAACAGAGGCTCCCGTCAGTGACTTTGAGCAAAGAAATAGGATAAGCGCGCAAAGGTTGCCCTGGATGGGGGACACAAGAGGGGAGCCGAGGAGTCCACGCGCTGCAGATTCTCCCGCCGTTCCTCCGAGACGCGCGTGGGAAGGCCCCGGGGTGTGCGCGCGTGCGTGCGTGTGTGTGTGTGTGTGTGTGCGTGCTCTCATCTCCATAAAGCATCTTCTCCATTGGTGCTTCAGCTCCAACTTGACCAATCATAACGACAGTTAATTAAAACAAAACACACAAAAAAACCACAAATACCCCGAGCCCCGTTCTTTTTTTTTTTTTTTTTATCGCCTATAATGGGTCTGAAAGCAGTTCGAAGATGGAGGAGAGTGGGGACACCGCCACGGAATGGACTTTGCGAGTACCTTTTTATTTGTGAATTTTAGTTATTAAATAAATACAGTATGAAATTATGAGGCTGTTTTGTTTTTCGGAAAAGCCTTTGCCGGAGGCCAGACTTGACGGGACCGGCGTGGCGGCGGCGGCGATGGCACCGCCCAAAACCTGCCTCTCTTTTTTTTTAAGTCACGGCACAGGTAAATTTTGGAGACTTGTTCTTTTTGGAACAGGCTGGGTTTCTGTTTTGAGCCTCCCTCCCTCCCCTTTTTTTTGTTTTTCTATACATTGCTATTTTATTAATTTCTCGCCCCCCTCCCTCCTTTTACACATGTACTTTTGTTCATCGTTTTCCACCCATAAGAATGAGATTCATAATTCCAACCATCAGTAAAATGAATGAATTGGCATGTTTATACTGTAAAAAGTAGTCTTGATTATTTATTGCGGTTGGGGGCGGCGGGCGGGATGAGGTCAGTAAGGCTGGTCTCCTGGGGCAGGGGTGGTGCTGGGGAGGGGCAATTGTTTTCCCATCTTCCCCTTCCAAAGAAATATTGCCCTCCTGAGATCCTTGGCGTTGAAAAAAAACCTGCCATCTGCTACCTCTGGCGACTGGATGCTATTTTTTGAAATTCTGTTTTCAGCTACTGGAGGCTTCTTCCCAAGGAGAAGACTTCCTACCAGCTTTTCATTGGTCTCTTAGCTGTCCCTTTCTCTCCCATTCATCTCTTTCTTCCTCCCTCTCTCTGTATACTGAGCCTTCTGGCTTTGTCCTGTCTTCCTGGAAGCTGGGGGACATGTTTGCTTTTGTTTTTTTGTCAGAAATGCATTTATTTTCTCCCTTTCTCTCTCCCCCACCCCACCCTGTCTAGACACCGCCAAAGCCCATATGGGCTGTATATTTTATCCAGAGGCGGGGCCACGTTTTATTTGTCACTTACGAAGACAACGGCTTCTTTGCCTTGTAAAAAAAAAATAATAATAATAAATAGAACCCTTCAGGCTGCACGGCTTTAAAGTGTGTGTGCCCTACTAACCACGGGGAAGTGGTTTTTTTGTCCCACCTCTTTTTATCTACACAAAACGAGTTTACCTTTCTGGGTGAGAAGAGAGATGAGGAAAAAAAAATGGCCCACCGTTGACTTCCGTACCAGCTGGATTTCTGCTCAGATCACCAAAGCTGCCTTTTATGGGTGTGTTTTTTTTTAAAGATATTTTCTGCATTTAAATTAGCAAGCCTCATTGCCTTTCTAAAACTCCTCATGTCCTAGAGGTCTATTGGGTATTTCAGAGATGGTCAACCCAGTCTGGTAATTTTCCACCAGTGAAAAGTAGAGAAAATAGACTGGTTTTGAGACAACTTGTGCTTGCAGAATTTAAACCTGGTCAAAATGTTTGCCTAGTTGCAGGGAGCTTGACTTAACGCTTCCTGTAGGCTGCTCAGAGCCTTTAGATCAGTGGTTCTCAACCTGTGGGTCGGGACCCCATTTGGGGTCGATCGACCATTTCACGGGGGTCGCCATGCAAGGCTGTCCGCCATTTTTTCCCCTTTTCCAGCGGGTGCCTTACCTCCCTTGGGCTGGGCCAGCTGGTGGTCGGCCTGCTCCGTCTCTGCCGTTTGCCAGCTACGCCTCGGCCGGTGCAGGGGGCGGAACCACGCATGCGCGGCGCTCCCGGGCAGGGAAAGTCCTCGACTTACGACCAGTTGGGCAGTCCTCAACTTACGACCGGTTTAGTCCTCGACTTACGACCGGTTTAGTCCTCGACTTACGACCGGTTGGGGTCGCGGCATTAAAAAGGTTGAGAACCACTGCTTTAGATGTTCAAGGCAGATACTATTTAAGGCAGGGGTCTTCCAACTGGGCCCTTTTATGACTTGCTGGCTGGGGAATTCTGGGAGTTGAAGTCCACAAGTCTTAAAAGTGGCCCAGTTTGAGGACCCCTGCTCTAAAACACGGCATTTTTTCCAAACTGTATTCTGAACACAACTGTGGCCTGCTCAAAAAGCTTATCGCAGTCAATGAGAAAATTAAAATGGTGATTCCCACCCTTGCAGGAATATTAGTAGACAACGATTTGTAGAACATGGAGGTATCTCACGAGGGTGCTGGTCAATCCTGAAATCTTACCTCTTCGTGAGTCTATTCTATCTCTCTCTCCAAAATCTTTATTGGTTCCTGCGAGATAAATTTAAAACCAATGTTACATGGAATAAAGCAGCAATTACCAATCGGTGAGCCAACGTAGCCATTTTATAGCTTCAGATGAAGGGGCCATTGTGAGTGTTGTGATTGTATCTCCCTGCTTCCCTTTAAATAATGTAATAAGAGTTCAAGGAAGAGAAACTGACCTTTTTTCTGCCTCTGAAGTTCAAAATTCTCTCTAAAATGGAATTATGGCACCCTCTTGTGGCTGAACTTTGGGCAATATTAATCTTTTTTCTCCACCTCCAAACCTTCTATTTCCTTTTTAATGTTAGATGGCAAAAAAAAAAGAGAGAAAGAAAACTGTTTTAGGAAGTAGTTATAACTGTTAACCCCTTTCTGCTTTTTTTGGGACAAAAGGACTTGATAGGTTTGGAACAGATTTGCAAAAACCGCCAAGATGTTAATTGAAAGAAAATTTCCATCGATCTATTGAGCCAGATTTGGGACACTTTGATCCAGAGTGTGTTCCAAGTTACTAATCAAATAAAAATTCAGATCATGTTGTTATTCATAATATCTTGGTCTAAAACTGAAACATGTCTGTGCACATTGTAATTCCAGAAGTTGTCCAAAAGTACATATCTGCTTTACAATGTTTGTGTATATCTTCTCTGCTTTTTCATCTTAGAGTAGGTTTATTTTGGACAGTTATTTTCCTCCGTGTAATGCTAGAATTGGCCACTATTACTCTTTTGTTTCAATTATGCAATAACTTTCTTTTTTTTAATTCTTGATATAATGTTTATTGAACTGTTTTAAAGAAAGATAAAAACTAGCGTAAACTACGAAGGAAAAAAAGAACACAAATGGTCCAAGAAAAAAGGTGAAGAAAAACAGAGAAGAAGAAAAAATGCAAAGAGGTGGTTTCCGATAATCTCCATCGCAGTTATATTTTAAGCGCGCTCTCTTAAATTTATATCATCATATTCTTCTTTCAATAATTATCCTGTCTGATCATCCGAGTCCTAAATCATAAGTTCATTTTTTTTCTCTTATTTTCACACAAAACCGCCTGAAAAGAGATTTTCAGACACCAATCAGTAAAGATGATGCTTTTTCTCTAATCAAAGAATCTTAATTTATCCTTCCCAGCAAGGTCTGTCCATTTCACCCACTTTCTTTCTAACCATTTACCTATTAGTCCTAAAAGGGATGGCCTCTCTGGTTCCCTCCAAAGCCCCCGTTGCCTCTTGCTTGCTTTGGATTTCAGTGCTTCTAATTTTGTTTTTCAGTGTAAGATGGCAAATTGGATTTGCTCTCTTCCATTCTTCTCTCAGCTTTGGCCTCTCTTTTCTTTCTTTTCTCTCTTCTCTCACCTCTTCTCTTAATCCCTCCCTTTTTCTCCTCCCCTTCCCTTGCCATCTTTTCCTTCCCTCTTCCTTTCCCTCCCCTCCCCTCCCACTCCATTCCTTTTTCTGTCTTCTTCCTTCCCTTCCCATTCTCCCCCCTCTTCCTTCCTCACCTTCCTTCTCTTCTCTCTCTTCCATTCCATTCCATTTGTTTTTCCATCCTGTTCTTCCTTCTCTTCCCATCCTCCCCCTCCCTCTTCTCTCTTCCCTTCCCTTCCCTTCCATTTGTTTTTTCCATCCCGTCTTTCCTTCTCTTCCCATCCTCCCCCTCCCTCTTCCTCCCTCCCTCTTCTCTTCTCCTCTTCCCTTCCATTTGTTTTTCCATCCCGTCCTTCCTTCTCTTCCCATCCTCCCCCTCCCTCTTTCTTCCTCCCCTTCCTTTTTCCTCCCTCCCTTTTCTTCCCTCCCCTTCCTATTTCCATCCTCCCTTCCCTTCCCTTCTTATCATTTGAAAGCAATTCCATAAACGGAGTTTGAACAATTCTGGCTCTCCTGCATCCTCGCCATCCTTTCCTTCCATGCTGTCACAAGAGGTGCTCGAGAAAGGGATTGGCTCAGGCACATGGGCCGTGCTTGTGCTCCGGTTGCTTGGCAACCGGAGGAAGGGCTGCCCGTGGGTGGGTGGGGGGGGTGGACTCTGAATTCAACAGCCTCTCCATCATTTGGGTGTTATTTGTCGTCAGAGGGAGGTTGGGGAGTGTCTTTTATTTTTCAGCAGGAAGCAACGTTATTCGTTCATCTGAATATTTCAGCCAAAGGTGTGTAGTTTATTGGAATTGGACCCTCTCTATAAGCACAAGATCCCACTGATGACAATCAATTTTTTGATACTTTATATACTGTGGCCTTAGAGCCAAGCTGTAGCTAAAACGTGGCTGGGAGATAGTCCCCCCTCCCTCCCCCTCCCACGTGGTTCCCCCATCATTGTCTTGGACAGGAAATCCTGAGATCCTAAATCAAGAACCTGGTAGGTGCTCTAATTCCTGGAATTATTGATTTGCTCAGCGGTAGATCCTTTTCAATCTGTTTCTCATCCTTTATGGGACAAAAAACAGAAAAAGTCTGCCTTTGATGGGGGAAACGGTTTTTGAAAAGGAAACTGGCTAACTAAACCGAATTCATGTTTAAGCATCCTTTGGGGTCATTTAGATCAGAGGTCCCCAACCTTGGCAACTTTTAAGACTTGTGGACTTCAACTCCCCAGAATTCCTCAGCCAGCCAAGCTGGCTGAGGAATTCTGAGAGTTGGAAGTCCACAAGTCTTAAAAGCTATCAAGGTTGGAGTCCCCTTGATTTTAGAGCAGTGTTTCTCAACCTTGGCCATTTTAAGATGTGTGGACTTCAACTCCCAAAATTCCCCAGCCAGCATGGCTGGCTAGGGAATTCTGGGAGTTGAAGTCCACATATCTTAAAATGGCCAAGGTTGGAGTCCCCTTGATTTAGAGAGATGGGAGGAGAGGAGGAGGAGGAACAAAACGCAACTACGTGTTAGGAGGGTTGCTTAGTTCACAGCTATCATTCCCCAACTTGTGAAGGGCCTTTTCCTCTGGAAAACGTGGAGTAAGAAGGACCAATGCACCTTGCACCCTTCCCTCCATGTCCGCTTCAAGTCGTCGAGAAGGTTTTTCCTGGAGGGAAAACTCCAAATATGAATACAGAATAAGTTTCTTTTCTTCACATCCCCTTCTCCCAGAGTCCTTTTCTGAGATCTCCAAAGGCCCCAAATTCTGTATTTTTTGGCCTCTTAAAAAGCAAGAGGCCCTTGGCAGCCATTCGTAGCCCTTCAGGTCTAAAAACCTGATCAACGGAGGAAGAATGGGACCACTTAGAAATGCCACTTCCTTGGAAATCTTCCTCCAACATGTTTACTGAAAATCCAAGAAAGGGACATAGCGTGTAGGTCCTCCGACTTAGCAACCGTTCTTTTAAGCAAACCAACCAAACAAAAACAGAGTGAAGTGCACAAACGCAACAGGATAACAGCTAGCAAGACGAATCACAGCCTACAGATAGTCCTCGCCTTACAACAGTTCATTTAGTGAACCGTGCGAAGTTATCACATCACTGAACAAAAGGACACACGACCGTTTTTGACACTTAATCGCCATGGCGGCATCCCCACGGTCACGTGATCAAAATTTAGACGCTTGGCCACTGACTCCTATTTATGATGGATGCAGAGTCCCGTGTTCCCCCTTTTGCGACCGTCCGACAAGCAAACGTCCGCGGCAGGGATCCTCAAACTTGGCCACTTTTAAGACTTGTGGACTTCAACTCCCAGAATTCCCCAGCCAGCCAGAATTCTGGGAGTTGAAGTCCACGAGTCTTAAAAGTGGCCAAGTTTGAAGACCCCCCTGGTGCACAAGGAAGCCACTTCACAACCGTAGTCCTAATTTAACAAGTGCAGCGACATGACACACTGAACAACGGTGGCAGGGAAGGTCGTGAAATGGGGCAAAGCCCACTGAACCGCCGTCTCCCTTAGCCACCAAAATTTGGGGGCTGAGTTGTGATCGTAAGGCGAGGACTACCTGTATAATCTCCTTTCTTCAAGGAGTTCTATTGAAGCATTTTTCTCTGATGCCCACCAGGAACTGGGAATTTCATGCCCACCAGTGGACAATCTGGCAAACATTTTTTTTGGGGGGGGGGGGCTGTAAAATAGGTCCTTACAATTCAAGACCTCAGCCATTCAAGCAGCTTCCTTACGCAGAGGTGGGGGGGCAATCATGTTCCTGTCGTCCTCCGTTGCTTATGGCTTAGCTCATCTGCATCTTTTCTTGGGAGGGGGAACATATAATTTGGAAATGGCAGTCTTCGGGGGAGGCAGGCACCGTTCTGCCAGGGGTAGCAGCAGCAGCAGCAACTTCCGCCAGCATCTCTAGCTGGTATGGCCTCGGGCACGCTCGCGTCTCCTGGATGGCAGCACTCACTTCGGGGAAACAGAAGCCACAGGTTTCAATGGGATCCGGAGTTTGGTTCCCTCCGGATTCGCTTCCGAAGCTTCCCGCTTCCATGAGACCATCTGAAAAAACGATAACGTGTTGTTTATGGTGAGGGAATATAGCAACTAAAAGCAGAAGAAGACCTGGTTTTAGTACCACCAGGAATGTAAGAATTGCATGGTGTCTATTTAATAATAATAATAATAATAAAGTTGGAAGGGACCTTGGAGGTCATCTAGTCCAACCCCCTGCTCAGGCAGGAAACCCTATAATACCATTTCAGACAGATGGCTGTCCAATCTCTTCTTGAAAACCTTCCAGTGTTGAGGCAGTCACAACTTCTGGAGGCAGGTTGTTCCACTGGTTAATCGTTCTAACTGTCAGGAAATTTCTCCTTCGTTCTAGGTTGCTTCTCTCTCTGATTGGTTTCCATCCAAGTCTGCCATGGTTTTGATACTCCTCCATTTACCACAGTTCATTTAGTGACCGAAATTACAACGGCACTGGAAACGTACGACTGCTTTTCACACGATCGCAGTCACGTGGTCGAAATTCAGACATTGGGCAACTAACTCATATTTATGACCGGTTTCACTGTCCCAAGCTTTCTGACAAGCAAAGTCAACGGGAAATGTATTAAAATTTATATATCGTTCATCTGACTATCAAGCAACTCTGGGCAGCTTGATGACTGCCTAAAGGGAATTAGATTTTTATTCTATTTATACTGACTGTGGACCAGCTTAAGCATTCAGAGCGTTCTCTTTTGAAAATCTGGGTAATCGGACCTGATTGCTGAAGTTGAAAGTTAACAAGCTTTAGTAGAGTGGAAAAATGTTTTATTTAATTCCAGGAAGATGCATTTCCCTTTGTATCATGCATCCTCTTGGCTGAAGTAGATTTAGCAGAGGTTTTAGCCTTAGAAACGCTTAGAAAACTGCTTTTTTTTTCAGCCCCAAAGGTGCTTTTTCCAAAAGGAAACCGGACTTTCTTTTTCTTTTTCTCCTGGAAGACGTTTCATTTCTTCAGTTCTGAAGAAGCTTCTTGGATGAGAAGCGAAACGTCTTGAAGGGAAAAATAAAATAAAATAAAAAGGAAGTCCAGTTGCCTTTTGAAAAAAAGCACCTTTGGGACAAGATGAGGGAGAATTTGCACAAACGTGCTTCTTTTTTGTCAGGCTCAAAACACCAGGTCCGCAAGTGAAATGTTGCTGAAGAGCCTATGATGCCAAGGAATCTTCTGAGCACGTACAGAAGGACCCAAGGAAAGCTGTTGCTCCAGCTGGAGTGAAGAAAAAAAAAAAAAGAGAGAAGAATTTTACCTTTTGGAAGATCTCCCTTTTTATGGCAAGATGCTGAGCTGGCTCGACAGAACTTCTTGTCCCCCCTTTTTTTAAAGTAAATCCAAGTCAACAGCAAGGAGAGGAGCAGGATGCAAAAGGAGAAGCCCAAGGCCACGTAGAGAAAAACCTGTTGGTCGAAAGTAGCATCCATTTTGCGCTGCAGAGGCTGGAGAGCAGCTGGAGTTGGTAAAGAGATTGCAAGGGGCTCTGAAAGTCAGATGAGAGGGAGAGGGAGAGAGAGAAGGTTAATACTGTAAATGTTTACCCCACACCCTGACTTATTTCAGTAGCAATTCTGATGAGCAGTCTCTGGATTTTATCTTTGGATGCAGACAGGGCAGATCTATGAAGATCTGGGCTACTGTGGGGTCCTTGACGCTCTCTAAGCTTGGAAGTTTTCCTGCAGACGTTTCCTTACCAAACTAGGTAACATTATCAGTGCTAGAAAGGAGTGGGGATTGTGGGGGAAAGGAGGAGGAGGAGGAGGATGACGACGATGACGACGACGACAACTATGGGGTCCTTGGTGCTCTCTGAGCTTGGTAGTTTTCCTGCAGACATTTTATTACCAAACTAGGTTACATTATCAGTGCTAGAAGGGGGGGGTTTGCTATAAGCCACCTTCTAGCACTGATAATGTTACTTAGTTGAGTCATGAAATGTCTGCAGAGAGCACCAAGAACCCCACCGCTGAACCCTGAGCTACAGATATTCTACTGGGTAACTTAGACTCTGAGCTGACTACCCAAGTGAAGGTTGGTGATGGCAAACGGTTTCCAGATTTGTATTCAACCAACCAATAATATTTAGTTGGTCGCTAACCTCATTTTTTTTTAAAAAAAAAAAATCAAAACCAAAAACAATGCAAATAAACGCAATAAACTATGAACAGCTAGCAAAACGAACCGCAGCGTATGACATTCCCTTCTTCGTTGACTATATTAAGCTTTTGTGTTTGATGCCCACCAGGGACCGGGAACTTAATGCCCATGAGTAAACAATCTGGCAAAGATTTATTTATTTTTTTAAAAATCACTGCTGGGTTTCCTTGTGAAAAGAAGAAAAAAAAAATCCTCCTTGAGAAATGTGAAGGATTTGCCTTCAGAAGGAGACTAAGAGTAGTACTCTGGTCCCAGTTTAGAAGTTCCTGGGAACATTTGTGACTACATCTGTCCATTTTGGAGAGGAACGTAACTGACCGGGACCTGGGGATGGTCCCTGTGTGTGTCTTGTATCCTGGGGTGGAAAACACAAGGAGGAAAAGGGAGCCCTCCTGATCTAGCTGGTCATTTTGGGACTCTTCTTCAGCTCTTACTTCTACAGAAAGGCGCGCATTGTTTGGGGTGCTGTCCACAGATGCTGAAGCATTTGATGCATTCTCTCAGGAGCTGGTCGTAGTAGGAGCCCTCTTGCTTGCTGCACTCCATGGAGCCTAAGAGAAAAGCAGAGTTTGTGCAAAGGAGAGAGAGAAATCTGCAACGGATCTTTTCTCCACCCAGAAAAGAACCACCCAGTCCCTTGGCTGGCCTACTGCTCATTGGCTATCAAATCCTGTCGCTATGGAAACAGCAGCATCCTTGAGAGGGCTAATGCAGCCAAAGGGATGCGGCCGCCCTCTTTTCCATCTCCTGCCTCCTTCAACACCTGGCTTGTCGGGGTGTTGTAGAACATTTTCCAGCTGCTGGTTCAAGGCTGGCTGCTAAGCTCCGGAGCTCGGCAAAAGGTGGGTAGTAAAAGTGGTTTAGAGCAGGGGTGTCTGACCTTGGCAACTTATAAGACTGGTGGACTTCAACTCCCAGCATTCTGGGAATCGAAGTCCATCGGTCTTAAAAGTGGCCAAGGTTGGACATCTCTGTTTTAGAGCATGAAAGCCAATTCAGGAAACAATTTGGGAGTCATCGCTACTTGGTTATTTGGCTTTCCAGCAACCCCCTTCTGCAGATGTTGAAAGGAAGTAGCGCTAGTACCAACAGGAGACCATGTCCTACGTTGCTACCTTGCTAAGTGTCCCCAGTCATCCAAGAGCTGAAAAGCAGAGAAGGTCCTCCATGGTTGCTGGACTTCGACTCCCATCAACCTTAAGTCAGCATGGCTAATGGTCCATGATGCTGAGAATGGGTTTAGCAACATCTAACCAGCCATAAACTGACCATCCTTGGTCAGAACCTGGACAGCTGGTTACCATTCATTTAGATCAGCCTCCTCATATCCTCCAAAATTGAGGACATGAGGCTATGATCTGGAGGTCAGAGGGTTGAGGAAGATCTCTTGGTAAAGCAACTGAGTGGCATGGTCTTCTCACAGGAGCTAAACAACCACATCTTCAGCACCTCTACTGGTGCTGGAAGAACAAGCACCTTCCCCCAGTTCTACCACGATTCACAAGCTGCTTTGGAAGGCCAAGATGGCTGAATAATACAACTATTTCAGTGGCAAGCCCTACAACATCATTTTTAAGATGCTTACTGCAGACATCGGCGCATCCCTGGGACTTGAGTGGTTGGCAAGCGTATTCGCAAGACACACAATTACCCAGAAGGCCATCCCAATACTGTTCCTTCGAACACGATTGCATGATCCGTCGAAAATGCACGTCTTAATCCAGGGTGGTCTCTAAAAACAGAAAACAGGTTGCGGAGGAAGAAGTCTGACAGAGTTGGCTACGCAGAATCATAGAGCTGGAAGGGACTCTGGAGGTCTTCTAGTCCAACCCCCTGCCCATGGCAGGAGTCCTTATGCCATCCTAGATCTTGGACGTCCCAGGTCTAATTTTGAAAAGCCCTAGTGATGGAGCCTCCACAACTCCAGGAAGCAAGTCATCCCACTGATTAATTGTTCTCACTGTCAGGAAATTTCTCCTTAGTTCCAGGTTGAATCTCTCTCTGATCATCTCCAGATGCTTCTCGTCTTTCTCCCAGATGCTTTGGAGAAAGAGTAAGCTTCCTCATCTCTGTGATTGCCCCTCAAGTACTGGAAGACTGCTATCATGTCACCCTAAATCAGGGGTCTTCAAACTTGGCCCTTTTATGACTTGTGGACTTCAACTGGCTGAGGAATTCTGGGAGTTGAAGTCCACAAGTCATAAAAGGGCCAAGTTTGAAGACCCCTGCCCTAAATTCTTCTCTTCATTAAGACTAGACAAAGCTAGTTCCCTCAACCCTTCATCATGGGGTTTGGCCTCCAGATCCCTAATCATCTTTGTTGCTCTTCTCTGGACTCTTCCTAGGATCCTGGTCTCTTCTTTGAATCACGGTGACCGGAACTGGACTCAGAATTCCACAGATGGCCTCACGAGTGCAGTATAAAGCAGTACGATCACTAATATGGTTTCTTCTTTACCCCGCAGGGTTGTGTGTGTGTGTGTGTGTGTCCAGTCCATGGGGTGCATGACTCACGCGTTCTGCAACTGTGGTTTAATTCAATAAACCACAGCTAAACGAACGGTGACTTAGAGTGTCCTACTAATGCTCCAAGAGAGAGAAATTTAAGGTAAATTTACATCGGAAACTTCAAAGATCACGCCTAGAACCTGACTGGATTTCAGTCTGGTTCACACATGGCTCCAAGGCAAGGTTTGTTTTAACCCGATTGCGTTGCACAAGTCGCAATGGCCCCGGTTCATCCACAAAGGCTGTACACCACGCTTTGGAAACTGTAATGGCTGACCCGCCTGTAATGACTCAACAAACTGACACCGCAACGTAAGTGAAAGCAAAGTGGGTATTGCACAGCGCTGGGTGTGCAAAATTCCTGCATGTTTGTGTTTTCCACAAGGAACTTTGCTCGTCGCTTCCGCTGTGTAAGAAATAAGATTCGCTGTAATTTACGGTAGAAAAATCAAAACCGATGGAGATACGGTATTTTAAAAAACGACCGGCGTTTTCAGCAGGCTGATGTGCAGGAGACGGAGAGAGGTAGAACACCCCAAGATTTTGCAGTCTTTGGACCTAAATGGAAGACGGATGTTGCAGGCTGAATGCAGCAATTGCCTGTAGGAATTGCAGCAGACAGCCTCCTCCCATAATTTTTTTTTAAAAACACAAAGCTTTCTGGAACTCTGATGAGACCCTTCTTCGGGAAAAATGCCAGGCTAGGAAATATAACTGCAGATAATGCTTTTTAGGGGGATGTGCAAAGGATAAACATGTCAGTGAAGGCAAAGCATTGGCTGGAGAGAATCCAAACTTTTAAAAGAAAATATTATAAACCTTTCCCCCCCCCCCTGCTCGTTTATTTGATTAAAAGCTTTCTTTTTCTCATTTCCCTCTAAATACTTGGCTTCACTTCCACAGGACAAGAAGCAACGGATGGAAACTAACCAAGGAGAGAAGCAACCTAGAACTAAGGAGAAACTTCCTGACAGTGAGAACTATTAACCAGTGGAACCACCTGCCTCCAGAAGCGGTGAATGCTCCAACACTGGAAGTTTTTAAGAAGAGACTGGACAGCCATTTGTCCGAAATGGTGTAGGGTTTCCTGCCTGAGCAGGGGGTTGGACTAGATGACTTCCAAGGTCCCTTCCAACTGTATTATTATTATTATTATTATTATTATTATTATTATTATTATTATTATTATTATTATTATTATTATTATTATTATTATTATTATTATTATTATTGAGGGAGCTAGGTATGTCTAGGCTAAGACTAGGGGCTAATGATAAATGACACAATAAATGTCTTCCAATATTTTGAAGGCTTCTCACAACAAGAAGGGATCTTCCCTGTTCTCCAAAGCACCTGAGAACAGGACAACAGGTAACGATTGGAAGAATATCAAAGACAAATCCAACCTAGAACTAAACAGGAACGTCTTTCAAATCTTCAGAAGTTGTGGGGGCTCCATCAATGGAGGTTTTGAAGAAGATATGGGGTCTCCTGCTTGAGCAGGGGGTGGGAAGGTCCCTTCCTTCCAAGTCTGGCATTCTGTATTATTCTTTTCCAGATCAGTCCTTTCCAAGGAAGAAAAAAGTGAAGAGACCGGGGAAAGGGAGATAGCGGAAGGGTTAGAGGCCTCCAGTCCACCTCCCCACCCTGTCCTGGAAGACACCTGCAGCTAGATTGTGTGTCAAAAGAAAACACCACGGTAGAAAAACAATTATGGAAAGCTGAGTTTCAGAAAAGACTAGAAAATAACCGATTTGGCCTGTTGGGAGATTGAACTGAGATTATTTGCATTTGCTGCAGTTTTCCTGGAGGCACTTGACTCATCACGGTGAGAAGAAGAAGAAGAAAAAAAAGAATATTGGGCTACATGGATCTGTTCTTAGGAACCACCAAGAGCATTTTTTAATTCCTTAGCAATTCTTTTCATATCAACCTGCAGGGCTCAATAGTCGAAGCCTTTAGGCAAAAAATAATAATAATAGAAGAATAGGAGCCACTCCTGAGGCAGACACAACTTTGAAAAGACAAGATGAAGCAAGAAATGGAAAAAAAATGAAGATGCGCAAGGGTGTTATTTATTTGCTTTTTAAAAAGAGGCCGTTCTCTTTAAAAATACATACATACATACATACATACATACATACATGTTGCATTTGTCAAAGCTCATAACTAAACGTGTGCGATTTCTTCCTGAGTTCGCAAGGATGGGTTTATTTCTTTATTTTAGCAACTTGAGTTGGCGCATCATGGCGCTTATATCAAGGTTGCCCAACCCACCCTCTTATCGGGCTTTCAAAGCTATTTTGAACAAAGGCAGTATTATTATGTATATGTTGGCCTGCCAGTTTAAGAAATTAAATAATACCAATGTAAAAGAGAGCCAAGCCAGAGATGTTGCACCCAACCCACCCCGATGATCTAAGGCACGGCAACAACTCAACTCAACTCAACTCAATCCATGCATCCAGACAGCTCTCAGAGGTTCAAACTTCTCCAAGCTTTGGACCTTGTGAGCTAAGCCACCATAATATCCTCTAATGATGCTTCCATTGCAATTGTCAGAAAACCCCTTGACATCCGAGCAGCAGGAATTCTGCATTCCAGAAAGGGAATGGAGGTGGGATCTCCCGAGAAAAAACCTCAACGTGATCTTATTTCACCTGCCCTTAAATTGAATTAAATTAAAACATACATCCTGAAAATATTACCCATATAGTTAACCATTTCCCCCCTCTGGTCATATTTAAAGTTACAATTTGGTAGCTGCTTTCGTAAGCCATCTAGGGCTGGACCCAAGGCCGCGCAGAATTCTGAAGGGTTAAGTCGTGTCTTTTTTTGACTTAAAAGAAAATCAGATTTTACTTACAGTTTCCCCCCTGCTGCTGAACTGAGCTGAACTTCTCTTAGCTGATGGTCATCTCCTTCATGTCATCTAGATGTGCCCCTGGCCCTCACTTCTGGGGTTTATTATGAGTCCTTCATTTGATTAGAGTCTCTCTGTGTGTTTCCTGGGGGTTTCCCCTCAGAGGCTTCAGATGCAAACCAACTCAACAAAACCTGAACCAGGAGGAGTTTTGATGAGTTTTCCCCCCAAGGGAACACCAGAAACGCCACTTCAGTCATTTGTTAACCTCTCTTTTTCCAGAAAAAGATTATTCAGTTTGCTTTGCAAACGTCAACAGGGTGTCGGTACGGAAGAAGCCAACCCAAAGCTACCCAGAACTTTTGAGAATGAGGAAATTCTTCTGGGGTGGTTGTTTTTTTTTAATTTTTTACTATTACTCCCTTGTTTTCTCAGTGCTGCTTTTCTTGAGAGATGAGATTACCCTGGAAGATGGGTCATCTCCTCCTTCGAGACCAAGGTCTCAGTCCTTCAACCTTGGTTGGTGGCTTTGAGGCTACAGAAGAACATCTCTGTTGCTTCTCATCTCCAGCGTGCTGAAGATGTACTTCTTCGTTTTCTACCTTTCTGTGTCAGCAGCTTCAAGCTGGAATTCAGCCAGGTGATGCCAAACCAAGGACCCCAATTTCTGCACTGTCTATGGGGAGAAGAATATCCTCTGGCCCCACACCCAGATGGATGGAAGGGTGTTTTTTTTTAACGGAGAAACCCCTTTGATATATGTTTCTTTCTTAGACACATCAGCCATGGACAATCCTGAATAGCATGTCCACCTCACATGGCATCTTCTAGGACTTTCTGTATCAATGGGGCATAGCATCCTCCCTTTAGTGTGACTATGGGGTCCCTCCTCAAACTGTAGATCACATCGTGAGCGGCTGTAAGCTGAAGGCATACACCGGTCCAGTCTGTCTCTGGAGATTCTTAGTCCTGCAGGTCATGGCTGTCCCAAAGGTGCTTTTTTCAGGAGGCATCTGGACTTTCTTGTTTTTCTTTGAAGACGTTTTGCTTCTCGTCCAAGAAGCTTCTTCAGCTCTGAAGGTGGTGGATGGTAATACTAGAGACTAGATCCTTCCATTCCCCACCATCCAGTCAAAGCTGAAGAAGCTTCTTGGATGAGAAGCAAAATGTCTTCAAAGAAAAACAAGAAAGTCCAGATGCCTCCTGAAAAAAGCACCTTTGGGAACCAGTCCAGTCCAGGATCTGATTTTTTAAATATAAATATAAATAATAATAATAATAACCTTGGTCATCGAGTCCAACCCCCTGCTCAGGCAGGTAACC